CCACACTCATGCCTTCAATCATACCACCCCCGCTGGTTTCCTTCCTGTCACTTATCAGCGCTTTGATTACCTTTATATCTGTTCCTCTCTTCTACCTCTGGAATATAAGCTCCAAATGCAGGCATGAGGTCTCTCATCGACTCCTCTACCTGGCCCACAGAAGCCACTTGCCCCCAGGTGCCAGGACCGGAGGCAGCAGTGGCCGGAAATAGGGTCTGTTTCTGAGCCATGGCCACGGTTCAGGCCCCAGCTCCCGATCCGACATCATCCGTGCAGTGTACCCGCACGAGCTCTAGGTGGACCCTGCCCTGGCGTCTGCTTCCACGAGCCTGAGGTGCTCTTAGCTGGCTCTCCATCCCCTTCAGCCACAAGCAGGCCTCTCTCCCCAAATACTGGAGTCCTGCCCTCCCTCCGTGATGGCCCTTCAGGCAAGCAGACCTCTCTTTCCTCCGGAGTTCCCTGGCACTGAGCAGGGCCTGCTCTGGAATTTCTGAGAGGCCCAGGCCGGGGTAGCCTGGAGGGACTCCTTGGCCCCTTCAGCCTAAAGCCTGTGCACCTGTGTCTGTCCCTAGCTCTCACTCCTCAGCGTCCTCTTCCTATGAGAGGCTGAGGGAACCCGCAGGTGGCGGGGCCTTCTGAGGAGGCAGCCGACCAGCAACATCCTGCTCGTACGTCTGGCTGGGTGCTGGTGCCTCCACTGAGCTGGGTGCACGGGCAGGGAGGCTGGTTGTTTGGAGGGAGACACTGAGCTCAGGCTGAGTCCCAAGGTGTCTCCTATCATCCAGCATGGGGCCCAGCCGACAGGAAGCCCTCCATATAGAGCTGGGGAGTGAATGAGCGAGTGAGTGAGTGGGTGAGGTCCAAAGCCCTCATAGCCTCACAGTTCAAGGAGATGCCCTCTGAGTCCCAGCTCGTGGTGCCCCAGCCAAGATTACTTTACTAAAGAACTGCTTTGGCACCAGGAACTGTCTTTGTGCAAAAGCACCAGGAATGGCCCCCACTTCCCCAGGGGTGGATGGCCTGGCCTCTCCATCCCTCCTAATGCCCCTCTTCCCTGGAGCGGCTCCCCTCTGGCAGACGTCCACACTGCCCGGCACCAAAGAAGCCCTGGGTCCAGCCCTGCCCAGGCCGCAAAGGGCTGCTGTATGAGGAGGCCCCCATGCTCCCAAGGGCACCCCTACAGGGCACTGTGGAGAGCAAGAGCCGAGGGGGCCACGAGGTGCTCCTTGTCTCTCTGCCCTAAGAGTCACGTGCCTCTCTGCGGTGGGCGGCGCCCCTGCCCCCTCCTCCTGGGCTTGTGCGAGAGCCTACTGTCCTTGCACTGAGGTCAGGGGAGACTGCGAAGTACCGGCCTGTCCTGACCCGGGCAGGAGCACGGGCTTAGCTGGGCACCGGGGCCTGCGCTGGGGCTGGAATGTGGCTACAGCCTGGAGGAAGCTGGGGCTGGGACTGGAGGAGGCCAGTGACAGGCTGTCCTATCCGGAAAGAAGCTGGAGGACCAAGAGGCTGAGCCCCGGAGAGGCCTGGAGGGCGGGTTTCCATGAGGCCATGGCTCGGGGCTGGCCCAGCAGGCACCTGAACCCTGGGCCTCTGAAGCTGGCAGCCCGATGGACTCTTGCCAGTGGGGAAGGCCCTGGCGGGGATCCAATCCCCGGACTCCAGACCATCCAGTGCAGTGTTGGCTGGGCTGGGGGCGCGGACTCAGCCAAGATCTCCCCGGGGTGGCCCGGGGAAGCCAAGGATGGGCACGCAGATGCAGGCTCTGCTCCCAGCCCACAGGACTCTCCACAGATCCTAGCACCTACCAGGTCCCGACCTCTGCCCACGAGATCCACCACCACATTGGACTTCCCTCCTCTCCTCTCCTCTCTCGTCCTGCCTTGTTCCCTTGGTGTCTGTTCATATGTTGCCCCCTTGTTAGACTGGGAGCTCCCAGAGGGCAGGCAGCCAGGCCCACCCTGGGTGCCAAGGAAGGTTTTTAAGTAAAAGGAAGCCCAGGGACTGGGTGTGTTTGTGAATAGGGACAAAGGCAAGCCTCTGTTTCTCATTTTTGCCGAAGCCAGCCAGGTATGGACCAGAGGTCTGAGGGTACAAGGCAGGGGTGGGGAAAGTGAGTGGAAGAGCAAGGACTTGGGTGGTGGCGGGGGAGGGGGGGTGTGCTCCCTGCTGGGTGGGAGGAGACAGAAGAAAGGACAGAATGAAGTGGCCCTGCCAGGAAAGGTCTCAGCCCTCCATGTAATACCCGTGGTGGTCCCTGTCCCCGGTGCCCATCTGCTCCTCCAGGATCCACGTCCTGCTCACACGCACCACCTGGGCACGCACGGTCGTGCGTCCCCTCGTGTAGCACACGCACTCACACAGGCACGTGCCAGTCCACAGCTTCCCCAAGGCCTGGGGGCCACCTCTAGCCACCTGTCCCCTGACCGCAGACGCCAGACGTCCCTGGGCCAAGGGGGCCCGCTCCTTCTGGCCCCAGCCCTAGCGCCTGATGCGGACCTCAGCAGAGGTACCCAAAAGGCCACACCCCAACTCTGGAGGAAAGCAGAGGAGGCTGGGCCGCAGGGGTCCCTGGCTAAGCCTGGCACTGCCACAGGTCCCGCTTCTGTGCCGAGTGGGTGGTGGCCTAGGAAGCCTCCACACCCACCGGAGTCCAAAGAGCACAGGTGTGGCTGCCTTGTGGCCCCATCACCATAAGGCCCGCCTGCTCACCCAGGGCTCGCCTGGCCACAGGGCCTCTGTCTGTGGCCGCCGGCAAAGAAGACATTGCCCTCCCACCGCCAGCACCGGACCACCAGCTCAAGCAGCAGCCCCCGTCGGGGGGCAAACCTCACCGGAACACAGGTAAGGCCTGGCCATCAGTAAGATCAGGGCCCCGCCCCGCCGCAGGCAATCCTGGCGTGGTGGGAACAAGCCAGTGTCTTCCCAGGCCAAGGTCTCCAGCCCATTGCCAGATGCAGCCAGGAAGAGCAAGCCCAAGAAAGGCTTGGGACTCAGCTGCTGGCTAGCTGGCTCGGAAGCAGGACAGGGGGAGCCAGGGGTCCAGAAGCATCTCTGGGCTCCTTCTCCCAGGGTCTGTGATGCAGACACTCCTTCCCTGCGCCAAGCTCCTAAGTTCAGGGGATACATGGGGGAAACTAGGCAGCCACAGCCCTACTCCCTCAAGGGCAAGGCAGGCCAAAGCCAGCTGCCTCCCCTCTCGTGTTGTCTGGGAGCTTGAGCTTCTGATGGGACCTGCCCACAGGGACCCACATGGACCATCCTGGCTTGGGCAGGGGAGGGGAGTAGGGCTGACCAAGGCGGAGCTCATTTTCTCTTCTTTATCTTCCATATCTAGAAGCAGGAAGTGTGCAGCCTGCGAAGGCAGGGGGTGGGGACTAGAGTGGGGAGGAACAGGCTTCTAGCTCCCAAACAAGGAAAACAGAGCCAGCCGCCTCCTCCACAATCCCTCAGTTGTTTCCTAGCAACTGATTGCCCCATCCCTGAGTCATCTTATCAGACCCTCTGTTATTTTCGTAACAGTCCTAATAAATGGGTGTGGGCTGCTCTCTTACACTTTGCCCGGGATGTTTCAGCGTCGCTGTACATGCAGGCATACCACCGAGATGCATGGCACCCACAGACTTGGCACCCTATTCATGATGCATACACACGTCATTCAAATGACACTTACCCTTGACCCCCATGCTCAGTTCTCTCCCACCCCACCCTGCACCTGCACACACACTGTACTTACCTGCTTTCCTTTCTGACTTGTGTGTATTCTAGACAACCCCCCGCCCCATGCTGGGAAGGCACTGGGGAGACAGCCGTGGCAAGACCAGTCTGTCCTCAGCAGGTCACAGCCCCGTGACAGAGGCATATCTCCACAATTAAAGCCAGGGTTTGCAGCCAGACCAGGCTAGGCTCATTCTCCAGGAAATACTCTGGTGCCCTCAGGCCTGTTACCCTCTCTGAGCCTCAGAGTCCCCATCTGGTAAATGGAACAATAACAGCACCCGCCAGGTGAGGTTGTTTTGAGGATTAAGTGAGTTGATGAGGGTGAAGTCCATAGAACAGTGCTCAGCACGTAGAGCCAAAGAAGTACAAGCAATGGTAGTGAAAATTAAATATGGTTTTTTTAAGGGGCACGGCCCCAGGCTCACACACTAACCAGAGCAGCTGTCTTTGTGAGAGAGAAACATGAAGATTGGCCGTGGCATCAGGAGGGCACTCTGGGCAGGAGAGGATGGTGGTCAAGGGGGGCTTCACGGAGGAGGTGACCCTTGAGCTGGATTTCAAGGGCTGGGTAGGGAGGGGCTCTGGGCAGAAAGTTCAGAGTATGGAAAGGTGAAGAGACAGGAGTCTTCACTGTCTAAGACATTCAGGGAAGTGCAAATCATTGACAAATCCTACAGAGCCCCATGATTAAGATGCCTGCACACGCGCATGCAAACAGATACACACACACACACACAACACACACCCCTCCCTAAGTGGGTCCGCAGCTTAAGAGGCAACATAACCTCCTCCCAATTTGCAGAACTGAAACAGGCTTGCTCGAGAAGCTTGCTTTGGCAAGGAAGGCTGCTGCACCTGAGGCCTTTCCTCCAGAGGCTAGTGCAGCCCATGGACCTGGCATCTTTTACATCCAGGCCCAGGACAGGCTATGTTCCCAGGTGCCTGTCCACACAGCTTTCCCGAGCCCACGGGAATGAGCCTTACTGACCAAATAATGGGAGGCCAGGAGCCTGCCTTGAGGCCTCCCTGGCCCAGCCAAAATGGGGCTCCTCGGAGGGAGGCCAGGCTGCAGGATGGTTCCAGAAAGGCCCCTGGAGCCAGAAGTTTTGGGTCTGGTCCTGGAGACCCCAGGTCAGAGCCTGGCCCAAACCTCAGGACTGAGTGAGGGATGAGCTGCAAGAGCACATCTCCTGCCCGGTCCTGCCCTGGTATTTTTCTCCCCAGCCCTGATAGCTGTCTCTCTGGTTCAGTGTCAGTTCGAGGAGTCATCTAACCGTGGCAGCATGTCCCGGCCCAGCAGCAGAGCCATTTACCGTGAGCTCCCCCTCTGGTCCCCTCTCCCCTCCCCTCCCCGAAACCCCTGCCCTCACTGACCAACCCCCTCCCGTAACTGTCTGTCTCCCCCCCCCCATCTGTTCCTCCATCTCCATCCCCTTGCTTTGCACCCCTGCAGTGTCCCGGAAGGAGTACTTGCAGAAGGTCTCCTCCGAGCCCACCTGTCTGCAGCACAGGGTGGAGGTGAGTAACCCTGGGGAACTGCTCTTTGCCCAGGATCTGGCATGGCAGCGGGAGGACGGCCCGCATGAGGACGGTGGTCCCTGCAAGGACCTGCAAGCAGAGCCCTGTCTCGGCGGGGAGAGGGCTGGGCTGGAGTCCCCAGGGCAGGCATGCGCCACTGGGGGCTGGAAAGAAGGTTCCAGCCCTGCCTGGGCAAACGGCACTGGCACTGTGAGATCTAGTTGCCTGCAGGGCTGTTGGCACTATAGGGCGAGGGCAGGCTGGAAGGGTGTTGTGGGGAAGAGCAGACACCTGATCAGGCTGAAGCACCTAGGGCAGACAGCAGATTTAGGCTCCCAGGGAGAAGAAGCAGGGAGGGACACAGGGACAGTGGTCTGGAGGCTCACAGGGCAGCAGGGATGCCGCTCCCCCAAAGCCTGCCAGGTGGGTTGGGGCCAGGAGTCCTGGGCCTCATGACAGAGGCGGGGGGTCGAACTGGCTCCATTCAGGCCTGGTGGATGAGAGCAAGAGGAGATGTGTCCTGGATGCACATGAGGTCAGGGGCCCCAGAATATGTAGGCAGCGTGAACTCCCAGAGAGGCACTGAGGCCTGGACAGAGAGCAGGGCAGGGGCGTCAGGAGCAGGAAGCAATGGCTGCCCCCGCAACAAGGGCCTGGAGGGAGGGCAAGGAGTGGGGCTGTGGCTTGTGAAGGTGGCATTTGGAAGGGAGAAGGGAGGGGTCTCCTTGAGGAAGGAGAATAACAGCAAAAACCTGCCAGGATCGTCAGACTAGCAGTGGGCAAGGCTCTGAGTGAGACCGAGATGACTATGGCCCTCATCGGGCAAGACTCAGAGAGGGAGCTCTTGATCTTCCTGGGAGACTGGGAAGGAATAGACTAGCAGAAGTGGGAAAAGCATTCTGGGTATGGGGAACAGCATGAGCCAAGGCAGGGAGGCAGGACGGTTCAGTCAGTGAGGAGAAGGATCAGGCTGGGATGGTGGATTCCCAAAGGGAGCAAAGAAAGCCAGGGACAGAATCTGAGGGTCCTATATCCCACCCAGAGGAGTTCTGACTTTATTTGTTGGGTTATTAGGGCCCACATCTACCTCCAAACAGCCCCCTCTGCTGGCCTGGACTGTTAAGGGCCATGACATCCTTCTTCCAGAGTCCTAAACCCTCGCATGCAGTTCATCAGAGCCTGACTCGGGGGCCTTATCCTAGCTCAACTGCTCCTGGCCTCCCATTGGCCACTGAAGGCTGCTCTATGGGGATGGCCTGGGACCTCCCCGACAAGGAGGCCAGGAACACGTCCTCCTCCTCTGCTGTCTTTCCCCCACCCCTGCCCACTACCACCTGTGTGCCCCCTCTCCAATCCTCCTTTCCCCTCAGCACCTGATGACGTGTAAGCTGGGGACTCAGAAAGTCCAGGAACCCAAGGATGCCCTGAGGAAGCTGCAGGAGATGGATGCTCAGGGCCGGGTGTGGAGCCAAGACTTGCTCCTGCAGGCCAAAGATGGCAAGCTCCAGCTGCTGGACATCGAGACAAAGGTCAGCCCCCCCTGGACTCTGCAGTGGGTCACAGCTAACATGGGTTGTGGATAGCCAGCACCAGGCATGGACTCACCCCTCCTGTGCCCCAAACATAGGACACCTGTCCCCATATACAGTATGCACCCAGGCCTAGGGAGGGCTGGGGGACAGAGGCACCAGGGTCAGGGAAGACGACACCCCTGCCCCAAGCCACGAGGCGAGCTGGGGCGGCCCAGGTTCGGGGTTCCCAGCAGCCACCGCGGCGCTCAGTGACCTCATGGCCGAACTCTCCTTCTGGCCCAGGAGGAGCTGGACTCTTACCGCCTGGACAGCATCCAGGCCGTGGACACGGTGCTGAACTCCTGCTCCTACAGCTCCGTCCTATCCGTCACGGTGCAGGAGTCGGGCCTGCCAGCCACCAGCATTCTGTTCTTCCAGTGCCAGGAAGTGGGGGTGAGGGACCAGGGGCAGGGTTGGGGAGGGAGTGGGCATAGTGTCCAATGACCATCACTCTCCCCCCAGCACCCCCCCACCACCGACACACACACACACACACACACACACACAGCCTGCCTGATTGCTGCTTCCTCCAGGCAGAGCAACTAAAGACCTGCCTGCAGAAGGCCCTGGAAGAGGGGCAAGAGCAAAGGTAGGCAGTCTGGGTCCCAGCCCACCTGCAGGACCTCAGAGCCTGGGCCTGGGTGGGCCAGGCCCTGGCCCCACTCCTGGGGGACCCCAGGAGCCTGTGGCCCAACCAACCTGGGCCTAGAACTGGGGAGGGACCAGGCTGGGGCTAGGATGCAGATGGGCATGAGGGAGGAGATGGAACTGGGCCCAGGGAACACTGGAGACTGTCCCCGGAGACTGACATGGGACTGAGAGGGCCTAGGGGGCATGAAAGTGAGGCAGGGTGGAGTCCAGCTGGAGACCAGGGAGCAGGGCAGGTGGATCTCCTGGAGAGGGGTGGTGATATCCCTTGATCCTGGGGCAGAGCCTCCGTCCCAAGAAGCCTGTCAAAGCTGTGTCCCCATCATGTGTTCAGCAGACCCCAATCTGCCCGTCACCCCAGCCAAGACAGATGGAGGGGGCCTCCTCTGGAAAGGTCATTCTCCAAGGAGCAGGTACCCCCACCAGAGCAGGGGCCTCCTCCAAAACAGCCCTACTGGACGACCCCAGAGCACAGTAAGTGTGGGGCATGAGGGCAGGTGGAAAGGAAGCTTTGGATCAAAGATCAAAAAAAGGCTCTGGGCCATTGTCCCCTTCCATTGTAGGCACACCACACAACTTGAGTGTCCGAGAACAAAGCACCTTCACTCTGCCTCCTCCAAGGCGGCCCCCATCCCCCAAGAACCCAGAGAGGGACGAGGTAACCATAGTTTGTCTTAAGCTGGCTGAGGCTCTCTGGGCCCAGTCCCAGGATGGCCAAGGCAGGCCCGGGACTGAGGAGGGACAGGGAGTCTTGATCAGACTCTGGGCTGGGCCTGAGGCTCTAGTTGGAGGTGGGGAAGGGTCAGGGGAAGGGTCGGGGGTGGGGGGGCTTCCAGGGTGGGCCAACTGCCCACTCAAGGGTACGGGTTGTGTGGGGTCCAGGAGATACTAAGCCATGTCCTTAGCGACATCGAGCTATTTGCGGGAAAGCTGAAGGAGGCCCAGGCAACGAACAGTCATAAGAAGAAGAGACTGGGGAAGAAAAAGGGCAAGGATCAGTGGGGTGAGTGCTGAGGGCTACAGGGGAGGGGAGAGAGGTGGGGACGTGGTCTTGGGATGATCTACAACCCACCACCTTCACCCTCCCCTGTAGTGGTAACACGGGCCCAGTATATCGATTGCTTCCAGAAGATCAAGTACAGCTTCAACCTCCTAGTATGTGACCCCTCACAAGTTCCACAGCCCTCCCCCCTCATCCCACCCCAGTAACTGCCTCCTCTCTGGTCTCGTGGACACCCCCAAGTCCTTTCCTTCTCTAGCTTCTCCCCGTGGAACCTGCCCTCCTCCTCTTGGGACTTTTGGAGAGTACCAGGCTCCCACCCAAGGCCCTGAACAATTGTAGTGTCCTGGGGTCCTGGTGAAGGTGGGGAAGGGTGAAGGGTAGTAGCACATAGCGCCCTGTGTCCCCAGGGGAAGCTGGCCATCTGGCTGCAGGAGAGGAATGCCCCTGAGTTCGTGCACATCCTCTTCCAACTTCTAGACTCCGTGAGTTTGGGGACAACAGGGTGATGAAGAGGGACAGGCTGAAGTTAAGATAGAGCAGAGGCCGGGGCAGAAGTCAGGCGGCAGAGGGAGGCTGTGGGGTCTGCACTTTGCTCACCACAATACAACCTCCTCGTTGACTCCAAAACACCACCCCTGCTGTGTACAGAACCCCTCAACAGGAGAGATGGGCTGGGGTCGGTCCGAGGATGCCAGGGATCCAAGGGAGACAGGAAGGAGCAGCAGGCCTGAGGCAATGGGGGAAGCCAGGAATTCCGGGCCCCTTCCCACTCCTGTTTGGCCCTGGGAGAGCCTCAGCTTTCTGACATCTTCCGTCCCTCCCCTAGATCCTGGCCCAGTGCCCTGAGCCTGGCCTAGCAGCCCAAGTGATCTCACCCCTCCTAACCACCGAAGCCATCGACCTGCTGCAGTCCTGCCTCAGCCCGGCTGAGAGTGACTTCTGGAAGAAGCTGGGTGTGGCCTGGACCACCAGCCGGTGAGTGAGGACAAGGCTGGAACTGAACCAGGCCAAGGGACATGGGGGCACCGGGCAGGACGTTGGAGACGGCAGGCTCTCGGTTGTCACAAACCAGAAATAACTCAAAATAGATCCAGGGGGACTCTATATGGAATTCCCAACTTTTTACTAGACTAAATACAAACAATTAAAAAAAAAAAAAAAAGACCAAAATGGCCGCTCACCATCACCCCCACCACTGAAGGAAAAAAGGACAATTCTTCCCAAGAAGCAGAGTTGGCAACCTGCTATTAAAATATTTTCTCATGTTGGTCAAGGACAAAGTGAAAACTTTGTCTCAATCCAGCCAGAACTTAAGGATTGCTGACGGAAGCGATGCCAATGTAACATCACTAAGACTTGGCAACCAATGGGCCAAGGGGTGGAGAGAGAAAGAGGTATCCCGTGTGGCCGTGAGATGGGCCACAGCACAATCAGGCCTGGCTGGGGAGGCCGCGGGGAGCGAGCGGGAGGTGGGACCAGCTGGGGGTGCGCCGAGCTGGAGCTGGGGCATCAGTGAAACGTTCCCCAGGTACAACCCCCCCCACCGGAACTCAGGAGAGAGGTCCCAGCTGGCCCGTGGGTTTGAGAACAGTCAGCACAAAAGTGACATCTGGGGGGCGCCTGGGTGACTCAGTCGGTTAAGCATCTGCCTTCGGCTCAGGTTGTGATCCCAGGGTCCTGGGATCGAGCCCCGCATCGGGCTCCCTGCTCAGCGGGGAGCCTGCTTCTCCCTCTCCCTCTGCCTGCCTCTCCCCCTGCTTGTGCTTGTTCTGTCTTTCTCTCTGTGTGTCAAATAAATAAATAAAATATTTAAAAAAAAAAAAAAAGGTGACATCTGGAGCCACCTAGAGGCAAGGGCTCTGGAGGGAGCCCCAAGAACTCACTTAAGCCAGGGAGGCCTGCACCATCCCGTGGGAGAGGAAGGAAGGGACACTTCCACGGGTTGGTGGCAAAAGGGGGAAAGGGTCAAGGAGGCCAAGAGAAATTCCAGAGAGTTGAAAGGAGAAACAAAAAAGCAGGGGCGTGAAAACCAGGAGAAAAGAGGGTTTTAGAAAGAGAAAGAGAGAGAGTCGACCATGAAATCAGCCCAGTTGTGCTAGTGAGTCTCCTGCCTAATGGGCAGCCCTTCCCTGTGCAGCCTCATTAGAAGAATTTTTGCCCGATTCATCTAAAGACATGAATTATGATTCAATGTCATCTATTGATTTCATTGTGGTAGAACATACCTAAGATAAGATTTACCATTTTAAAGTGTATGATTCGATAGCATTAGGTACGTTTGCACTGTTATGCAACCGTCTCCACTGTTTCCAGAACTTTTTTCATCGTGCCAAACAGAAACTCTGTACCCATTAAACAATTAGTTAAACAGAACTCTGTACCCATTCCTCCCTCTCCCCAGTCCCTGGTAATTTCTATTCTCTTTTCTGTCCCTGTTTATTATTTCACATATAAAATGAAGTCAAATGTGCCCTAAAATGTTTTCCAATTTCTTAAAATAACCAAAAATCAGTGAATGAATGAATGGAGAGATAATACAGAAAAGAGACTAACCAAAAAGATGTAAAAGCCCTCAAAAGAGTTGAGTTTTGGCAAATTATACTCAGGTGATTTGCTTTTAGGCAAATTGACTGGAAGTTATAAATAGCACTAAATTCTGTGGTAATCCAGAAGCATTTAGACCCTACAAGGTCATTGTATTTGGCAATTGGGAGATTATTGGGACTTTCGAAGGACAAATTTCTTTCTTTTTTTTTTTTTTAGATTTTATTTATTTGAGAGAGAGCATGAGAGACAGAGAGAGAGAGCACACAAGCAGGGGGGAAGGGCAGAGGGAGAGGGAGAAAGCAGACTCCCCCTGAGCAGGGACTCTGAGGGGCTCCATCCGAGGACCCTGGGACCATGACCTGAGCCGAAGGTAGACGCTTAACCGACTGAGCCACCCAGGTGTCCCCAAGAACAAGTTTCGAGAGGTAAAAATCAGGTTGCAAAAAGTAAGGAAAGACCCAGGGTTAAGAAAATGTAGGCAGGACATATAAACACGTTCTCAGAAAAGAGAAGGTTCTAGAATGACTGTCTAAAAGGAGTATTAACAGGATCAAGAGAAGACTTGAGCATGTTTTTAGGGTAAAGAAAGGGAAGCAATTAAAAAGATTCTGAAGACAGAGTGATGTGTTTGTTCCTGCTGAGCAGATATTTATTAGCTGCCTCCAGTGCCCCACCCACGGTACTCAGGGTGCAGTCACAGGGCTCCCTAGAGTAAGAAACCCAGACACGGGGGAAGCACTACTGGGAGAGAGGCAGTACTCCCGGGGCCTGGTGAGGAAGGGAGGGACTTCCTCAAGGGGAGTGGGGATTCCCCGGGAGAAGATTCCTAGCAGAACAAGCCTGGATGCCACAAACAGCCCTGCCCTTCCTACAGTGGGGGTGCAGCGGGACCGGGGGAGGGGGGAGGCTGGGAAGCAAGTAGCAGCCCCCACCCTAGACTCAACCACAACAGCTTCTGTGATGCAAGGTGAGTCCCACCCACGAGTGAGCTCAAAAGAAAGAGAGCGCTGCCAAGAAATGAAACACAGGTCAGAGAAGCCCTGCCTGAGACCCCAACAGGGGTCTTCCAGCCCCAACAGTCTGTGGTTCCACCCCTTTGATCCAAACCCCCAGTCCGGAGTTGCTGTATCTGCACTTCAGGGCAGGGATGAGGCCGGGCCACAGATACCCTCACGTTGGGAGGTGTGCATGCTTCACTGCGTGCCCCTGTATGAGTGTCTGGGGCCTTTCATCCGTGCTCACGGGCCATGTCCTCCCTTCCCTAGAAGACCCCGAGGCTGGGCCCCGTCATCTCCTCCTTCGCCACACCCAGCAGCCCGGCACTGAGTGGACTCAGCTTTGTTCTCTCTCCCCAGGGCCGACTGGACAGGCATTGAGCCCCTGCCCTACCAACCCACATTCTATGATGGTTGGCAGCTTCCAGAACCCTCCAACCAGGTCAGGGGAGCTTCGCAAAGAGCCCTGCTCAAAGCCCTGGTCTCTGGGCTACTTTCTGCCCTCTCAGGCCAAACCACAGTCACATGACACCTACGTGGTGGGTGGGGTCACAGAGGGACCCAGATCTGCGTGGTGGCCAGGCAGGGGAGGGGATATGAGGCGGGTGTGTGCGAGTGGGGCCGTGGTCTGATACCCCGGCTCCCCTCCACCATGCTGGCTGACTCCCTGCTCCTGCTCTCTCTGTTTTTTCCCTACAGGCACCCTCAGGACAGCAGAACTCTACCTCCCTCCGGTACGCCCTGGGCTTAGTCGGGACTGCATGATTCTGGGGAGGCCGGGGTGGGACTGACCCAGTGGATCTGTGGATTCTACAACTCAGACCCTCTGGGCTCACATTTAGCCAGTCACGTGCCTCCCCTACCTTGGGTAAAAAAGCAGTGTTTTACCTTCCCAGACTCCAGTCCTTCTCGTCATACTACCTGTATCTCGACATACTACCTCTGATTTCCCAGAGCGCAGGTATAAAGCACTCAGAGGAGAGCTCAGACATAGAAACATCCACTGCTAACAGAGTCTTCAGAAATCAGTGACATTTCAGACCCCTCCTGCCTGCAGGAACCCCCACCCCAATCCCCGCCTTACGTTGACCTGCCATTAAACCCTGTGGCAGCCGAACAGTCACCACCAGACTCCAGGCAGGAGATATCTGGGTCTCTGGGGCTGGGACAGGGACTCAGTCTTGGGCTCCATTCTCCAGCCATCCTGACTCTGTGTGTGGTCGGGGGTGGGGGGGAAGCTCTGGGTTAGGGAGCACCTCCTACTTTGCTCAAGAGGAGACACAACATGGCCCTCAGCCTGGGAACCCTAACCACGTGCCCTCCAGCCCCAGACCTGTCAAGCCAGCCCTGAAAATGCAAGTCCTATATGAGTTTGAAGCCAGGAACCCACAGGAACTGACTGTGGCCCAGGGAGAGGCGCTGGAGGTGAGACATGGGCTTGAGCCTAGAAAAGGAGGTGGTGGTTGGTGGGAGCCATAGGCAGCCTGGCGTTGGTGGTCTGGGTATGGGGCTGCTGGGGTGGGTGGCCTAGATAGGGAGAAGAAGGATGGGGGAGGGCAGGAAGGAAGAATGCCTTGGCGGGGGGTGTGGGGTATGGACAGAGGCTTGGGTGACTGAGGTAGTGACTCTTGGCAGGTCCTGGACCAGAGCAAGCGGTGGTGGCTGGTGAAGAATGAGAAGGGACAGAGCGGCTACATTCCCAGCAACATCCTAGAGCCCCTACAGTCGGGGGCCTCTGGGAGCCAGAACCAGTCACCTTCTTGGGTAGCACCCAGCCTAGACTATCCAGAAGATCTAAGTCAGGGGTGGGAGCAGGAAGGATTCAATGACAAGTGGAGGAGATAGCCCTGGTTCAAGTTCATCTGTATCACCACAGGGTTACTATGTGCCAAGTTTATCATGGGGCCAGAGCAGAGAATAAGCCTTGTCCCCACCAGATAAGTGAACCATGGAGTGAGATAAGTCTTGACGGGAACCCAGAGCAGGGGCCTGGATGATGGGGGCTGTGGGTAGAAAGGAGAAGAGGGGCGCCAGGGTGGCTTGGTAGGTTAAGCATCTGCCTTCGGCTCAGGTCATGATCCCAGGGTCCTGGGATCGAGCCCCGCATTGTGCTCCCTGTTTAGCGGGGAGTCTTCTTCTCCCTCTCCCACTCCCCCTGGTTGTGTTCCCTCTCTCGCTGTCTCTCTGTCAAATAAATAAATAAAATCTTAAAAAAAAAAAAAAGAAATGAGATGCGATGGCTTCTTACCCCCAGCTCCCCTGATTCTAGGCTCCAATGCTTCGACTTAGCTCAACGCCTGAGGAGGTCACAGCCTGGCTGCAGGCTGAGAGCTTCTCCACCGTGTAAGTGCCTAGCCCCAGAGGGCGTGTCGGGAGAACCTCTTCGAAGGACTCCGATAATAGCCAAGGAAAACCAGAGACCCAGAACATGCGGGGGACAGAAGAGACCCACAGTGCCCCCCTCTGCTGAGTTAGAGAGAGCAGGAGAATGGTGTGTCCATGCCTGTGCAAGAACACTGAATGAGGAGCCTCTGCCTGGAGGAAGAGAGCAGGATCCCCCAAGAACTCGGGAAGAACTTCAGCTGCCAGCCACCCCTCCCCACCACAAAATTCTCTCCCAGGGCATTTCTCAGTTCAAAGCCAGGAGTCCTGAGCTTGGTTTAAGCCAACATGCCTATCTGACTCCTTCACCTCCAGATACCCTATTCCCTGAATTCTCCTGTAACCCCAGCCTCCAAGCCCAAACAGCCCCCCATCCGTCCGATACTCCAGAATATACCACGCCCCGAATACGCAGGCCCAAGTTCTTCCGCTCTCCTGCTGATAGATCCTGCTGTTCTCGTTCCCAGCACGGTGAGGAGCCTCGGGTTCTTCACAGGGAGCCAGGCGCGTCACATGAGACCCGGGGAGCTACAGATGCTGTGTCCACAGGAGGCCCCACGGGTCCTGGCGCGGTTAGAAGCCGTCAGAAGGATGCTGGGGGTGAGGACACCCTGGGCCCCTGACCCGCACAGGAAATGCTGGATGCTCCCCCGGGGTGGGAGGGAGAATGCCAGGTGGACAAGCTCGCAGGCTTCCATTCCATTCCATTCCATTCCAGTCCTGGGTTAGAACGGGGTGCGACAGGTACTGGGCACAGGATATTCCCCCCCAGAGGCTTGACTTCACGTGCTCAGGCATGCCGTGAGCCTCCAAGCCGATTGTCAACATGACCCGCCTCACCTCAATCCTTTTCTTTCCTCAGATGAGTCATTAGGCACCAACCCAGACACTTCGGAGATCAAGACCCTCCCACAACAAGCAAGATGGCAGATCTGATACTCCTTGGAGCCCTGAAAAATCCACTCTCAGGTCCCCAGTTTGCAGCGAACCCCACACCCCAGCTCGTACAGCAAAGAGGATGAGGAAGCCCAGAGGTTGAGACCAACGGTGCCCCTTCTCGCTGTGTTGGGAGCCCTCCCCAGTTATCACCTATTTATTATATCTCTTTCCTAAGCCTGGAGCACTTAATCTGTCAGGACTCCATTCAGTCCCTCTCCTCCCCAATAAAAGCAGCTTTGAGCTTGGTCTGTGCCTCCCCGCAGCTTCCGCTGGGCCTGATGGGGGCCAAAGGCAGGGAGGCAGGAAGAGGTGGGACTCGGGCCTGAAAATGGCAGCCGCCCCCCGCCCATCACTGGGCCAGGCTGTTGGAAGGTGAGTGGGGACTCCCACCGCAAGCCCGGAGCTGAGAGAATTTGAGCAGAAGCTCTCCTTACTCTCTTTCTAAACAAACTCCAAAATAAGGCTCTGCCCACCATCTTTCTCCTTCTCTGTACCCTTCTCCCAGTAAGCCCAAGGCACCCAGGACAGCTGAGGTACAACGCTTCCTGGGAGGAAAGGGTCCTCAGGCTGACAGTGGCTGGTGTGGATCACCCTGGCTGAGGAGCCAGAGAAGCACTAACAAACACGTCAGCTGCTCCAGGCTCCACTTGGCAACTTCCTCTTTTAAAACGACTGTGGTCCCCTCCTCCTGTTGGGTGAGCCAACCCTGAGCTCCCCAAACCGCGCCCCCCCGCCCCCCCGGCTTATCTCTTTAGTGGCGGAGCATAAGGAACACTGGACTGCAAGTCGCAAGTCTACCAATCGGCTCTTTGACCTGTTGTAAAGTCACTTCACACTCTGGGTGCCTATTTTCTCAAAGGTTAAGTGAAGAGTTTGGACTGTTTGTGGCTTCTAATATTTAATATACATAGCCTTTTTAAGTCTCATAACTGTCATGGACTCTCCTCCCTACAGAACAGAGGTTATTCTTTTATTGCTTTTGGCTACAGAGAAGGCTTGATGTGTCTGTGATCAATGGTCCTGGAGGGTTCTTAAGATGTTCCCCTAAGTCTCTCTTTTGTCTGGGCTCCAGAGTACCCTATTTTTGGACTGCCTGTGCCTGGCCTCCGAAAATCACCTCTCTTAGCTGGTCACACTGAATAGGAAAGCCAAAACTTTCCTTCACAAAAGAGAAAAAAAGGCGAGACTCTTAGAGTCTGACCGTCAAGGGCCGAAGTTAATTTCTTGGGATGGGGAGACGAGATATTAACCCATCACCCTTTGGGGTTTCATAGAGCTGAAGGAGTCCTAGACACAGGGAAAGACTTCAGGACCAGAAAAAAAAACAAAAACAAAAAACCCAAGTGTTTTAGCACAGGGCTCCCCAGATTGCCCAGCAAAGACTGAGATGAGGTAAGGGGCTGCCAGGGCACCCAAAGCTCACTGGACCTGGCACAAGTGATGCTATTAGACAGACCTAGGTTTGAATCCCAAGCCACCCCTGGAAACTGAAGCTTAGAAAGGCGACTGCACCTCTCCAGGCATTGCTCATCTTCATCCAATGGGCATAAAACCTATTTCACAAAACTGTTGTGAAGCTTGAATTGGAATAAGTTAGCCAACCTATATGAAATATTTAGATTCTTGCCTGACATATCATAGGTGTTCAAAACATATTCATCTTGTGGGGCACCTGGGTGGCTCAGTCGGTTAAGTGTCTGCCTTTGGCCCAGGTCATGATCCCAGGGTCCTGGGATGGAGCCTGGGGCTCCCTGCTCAGTGGGGAGTCTCCTTCTCCCTCTCCTTCTGCCCCTCCCCCTGCTCGTGCTCTCTCTCTCTCTCCTTCTCTCTCTCAAATAAATAAAAATCTTTTTTTTAAAGATTTATTTATTTATTTGAGAGAGAGAGAGAATGAGAGAGAGCACATGAGAGGGGGGAGGGTCAGAGGGAGAAGCAGACTCCCTGCCGAGCAGGAGCCCGATGTGGGACTCGATCCCGGGACTCCAGGATCATGACCTGAGCCGAAGGCAGTCGCTTAACCAACTGAGCCACCCAGGCGCCCTATTTTTTATTTTTTTAAAGATTTTATTTATTTATTTGACAGAGAAAGACATAGCGAGAGAGGGAACACAAACGGGGAGTGGGAGAGGGAGAAGCAGACTCCCTGCCGAGCAAGGAGCCCGATGTGGGACTCGATCCAGGGACTCCAGGATCATGACCGGAGCCGAAGGCAGTCGCTCAACCAACTGAGCCACCCAGGCGCCCCCCAAATAAATAAAAATCTTAAGCAAACAAAACATGTTCGTCTCTTACCTCAAGTTAATTTGCGACTGGCCTTTTGTTATCTTGCAAGAGAAATCCAGGCATCTTAAGTCATCTGTCCCTACGTGTTTGCACTTTTTCCTTCTTCCTTTTAGTGACGTGTCCTTTTAAAAAGTCCCAACCTTGCTTCAACAAGCTACAGGGGAAATGTGATTTCCCACGCCCAGCTAGGGGGTTGGGGGCTCAGTGTCCTGAGGCCATATGTTGTGGAGGCCAGGCCAGAAATCCGAGTAGCTGCCTTCCCACCACCCTCAACGATAGCAATTGCCTGGTGGTCAAGGGTCTCAGCCCCTCTGTCCACGGCAAAATGAACAAACTTTTTAGAATTGCAAAAGAAAGAAAAACAAAAGGAAGAGAGTTTTATTCGAGCCCAAGCGAGGACAGCTGCCCGGGATACACAATCTTCACAAAGAAGAGAGTGCTCCTCAGAAGGAGTGTTTACTACAGGGTTATGTATGGTTTTTTGTTACATCAAGAGTTACAAATCGGGGCGCCTGGGTGGCTCAGTCGTTAAGCGTCTGCCTTCGGCTCAGGTCATGATCCCAGGGTCCTGGGATCGAGCCCCGCATTGGGCTCGCTGCTTGGCGGGAAGCCTGCTTCTCCCTCTCCCACTTCCCCTGCTTGTGTTCTGTCTCTCGCTCTCTCTCTCTGTCGAATAAATAAATTAAAAAAAAAAAAAAGGTTACAAATCAAAATGATGGACATTTCAGGAAAATCACAAACTATCTTATGTGCAAGGTCACAGGCTTTGGAAGTATGGGAACAGAACTTAGGGAGATTTTTACTCTTATCTTTAGGTTGAAATGTTTCTTTAAGGTTTTTTGCTAACAGATGTACAATGTGTGCTCGGGGCAGAAACAGAGCCCATGCTTTGAAGTTTGGTAAAGTCATCCTGATCCTGGTAACAATCGAGCTTCCCTGGGAGCCCGGGAGCAGGGCCCACAAACATTGAAAGTTGAAAATTTCCTTTATCATTTCCCCCTTTGGATCACTAATCTTTCCTCAGAAAGCATTGAAGATCAACCTTATTTTATGTCCCTCGGTGCCAAGGTGACTGACTTGTCTGTCCTGGCTATATCAAGTCCCTCGTTGCTAGGTGTGACTATATATATATATGTGTGTGTTTTACCTAGAGTTCTTTGTTGAGGAAAATTTATTGTAACATAAATGGTGGGAAGCGTAAAAGTGATATATGTTCAGGGGCGCCTGGGTGGCTCAGTTGTTTAAGCGTCTGCCTTCAGCTCGTGTCATGAATACCAGGGTCCTGGACTGGAGCCCGGCATCGGGCTCCCTGCTCAGCGGAGAGCCTGCTTCTCCCTCCCCCTCTGCCTGCCACTCCCCTGCTTGTGCTCTCTCTCTCTCTCTTTCTCTCTGTCAAATAAATAAATAAAATCTTAAAAAACAAGTGATATATGTTCTCTATTAAGGCCAATTGATGAGCAAACATAATACGTGTGCTTGGTTTAGATGGTCTAGTTTTGATATAACATTTATAACAAAGATAGATGGACAGTAAAAGAATTCCAATAAGTAGAATTTGAAGAAACCCATGTGCTGTTGAAACAGACTTAGAAGAAAAAAATCCAAAGAATCCTTTACATACATTTTGATAAAAGGGTAGGGAAATTTATGATTATTTATGAGGAAAGATGGAGCATGTGCATGGAGCAAACATAACATATATTCCCATGCTTCTTCAGGGCAGAGACTTAACATCAAAAGAAGGCAAAATTCAGTCCCTGACATCAGGAGGTTTTCTTAGGATAAAGAGAAGGGGCTATGGGCAAGCGCCAAGAGCTGGTATGACCTGGATGGGGTCTTAGACTTGTTGTCTCTGGTAAGGAATGCAGAGCCTTGTTCGTTCACAGGCTGGAACCATTATCAGCTGACCTTGAGTCCAGGCTTCTGCAGGGACAGCTAGTGAGTTTGTTAATGGGGTCTGAAAAGACACAATAGCTGATTGGGGGAAGCAGTTGTCTGAAAAACAAATTTTAAAACTTTTTGTTAGTTTTAACTTCATTACCCCAATTCTCCTGAGTTATGATCTTTCCTTAATCTCGAAGAACCAAACGATGACCACTTTGGCCACTTCTTTATTTCTTCGGGTGAGGTAGGTTTGGGGTAAAGAGCAGTTCTTGCAGGTCTTAGCTGTAACATACCTACGTCCTGGGCTAAGCAAAAGTTTTTAGTTTAAAGGTCCTAGGGCACCTGGGTGGCTCAGTTGTTTGAGTGACTGCCTTTGGGCTCAGGTCATGATCCTGGAGTCCTGGGATCGAGTCCCATATCAGGCTCCCTCCTCAGCGAGGAGTCTGCTTCTCCCTCTGACACTCCCCGCTCTCATGCTCTCTCCCAAATAAATAAATAACATCTTAAAAAAAAAATATTTAAAGCTCCTAGCAGCAAGGGAAATAGAAGCAACATGGAGTCAGACATGCTAAGTTTTTTTCCTGTTGTGATTTCCCATTGTCAGTCCTTCATTCCATTTCTATGGAACATGGGTGGAGGTCCATCTTCTGTCACTGCTTCAAACTGAATTAGGGTGCAATAGGGGCTTTGCAATGGAAGGAACCGAAATGGTATAGGACGCAATTCTTGGTCCCTTGTGCTAGTAGAAAGGAACTATCAGAGGGGCGC